TCCGGAGGAGCAACGGTTCTACTCAGAGTCCCTCCCGAATATCCAAGCTCCTCACCCTATCTCTAAGGCTGAGCCCGGCCACCCTACGGAGGAAACTCATTTCGGCCGCTTGTATCCGCGATCTCGTTCTTTCGGTCATTACCCAAAGCTCATGACCATAGGTGAGGATTGGGGCATAGATCGACTGGTAAATCGAGAGTCTGGCTTTCTGGGTCAGCTCCCTCTTCACCACGACAGATCGGCTCAGCGTCCGCATCACTGCAGACGCTGAACCAATCCGCCTGTTGATCTCCCTATCCCTCCTACCCTCACTCGTGAACAAGACCCCGAGATATTTAAACTTCTCCACTTGAGGTAGGACCTCTCTCCCGACCCAGAGTTGGCAAGCCACCCTTTTCCGGTCGAGAACCATGGTCTCAGATTTGGAGGTGCTGATCCTCATCCCAGCCACTTCACACTCGGCCACGAACCTACCCAGCAAGAGCTGAAGGTCAGAGCTGGGTGAAGCTAGGAGGACCACATCATCCGCAAAAAGCAGAGACGAGATTATACTGCCACCAAACTCGACACACTCCACACCACGGCTGCGCCTAGAAATTCTGTCCATAAAGGTAATGAACAGAACCGGTGACAAAGGGCAGCCCTGACGGAGTCCAACCCTCACCGGGAACAGGTCCGACTTACTACCGGCTATGCGGACCAAACTCACGCTCCTCTGGTAAAGGGACTGAATGGCCCTCAACAGAAAGCCACCCACCCCATACTCCTGGAGCATCCCCCCACAGGGTGCCCCTGGGGACACGGTCATAAGCCTTCTCCAAATCCACAAAACACATGTGGATTGGTTGGGCAAACTCCCATGCCCCCTCCATCGCCCTTGCAAAGGTATAGAGCTGGTCCACAGTTCCACGGCCAGGACGAAAACCACATTGCCCCTCCTCAATCTGAGATTCAACTATCGATCGGACCCTCCTCTCCAGTACCTTGGAGTAGACCTTTCCAGGGAGGCTGAGGAGTGTGATCCCCCTATAGTTGGAACACACCCTCAGGTCACCCTTCTTAAAGATGGGGACCACCACCCCGATCTGCCACTCCACAGGAACTGCCCCCGATGACCACGCAATGTTGCAGAGACATGTCAACCATGACAGCTCCACAACATCCATAGCCTTGAGATACCCAGGACAAACCTCATCCACCCCCGGGGCTCCGCCGCTGTGTAGTTGTTTGACTACCTCAGCAACTTCTGCCCCGAGACTGGACAGTCCATCCCCAGGTCTCCCGGCTCTGGTTCCTCCTCGGAATGCGCATAGGTGGGTTTGAGGAGCTCCTCAAAGTATTCCTTCCACCGTCCGACTATTGCCCCAGTTGACGTCAGCAGCTCCCCATCCCCACTGTAAACGGTGTGAGCGAGTTGCTGCCTTCCTCTCCTGAGGCGCCCGACAGTTTGCCAGAACCTCTTTGGAGCCGATCGATAGTCTTTCTCCATGGCCTCACCAAACTCCTCCCACGCCCGAGATTTTGCCTCAGCAACTGCCACTGCTGCACCCCTCTTGGCTATCAGGTACCTGTCTGCTGCCTCCGGAGACCCACAGACCAGCCACGCCCTGTAGGCCTCCTTCTTCAGCCTGACGGCTCCCCGAACCTCTGATGTCCACCAGCGGGTACGGGGGTTGCCACCACGACTGGCACCGGCCACCTGGCGACCACAGCTAGCAACAGACGCCTCAACAATTGCAGAATGGAACAAGGCCCACTCGGATTCAATGTCCCCCACTGCTCTCGGGACGCGGCCAAATCTCTGCCGGAGGTGGGAGTTAAAGACCGTCTTAACAGGTTCTTCTGCCAGGCGTTCCCAGCAGACCCTCACTATGCGTTTGGTTCTGCTAGGTCTACGCGACATCTTCCCCTGCCATCTGATCTAACTCACCACCAGGTGGTGATCAGTTGACAGCTCCGCTCCTCTCTTCACTCGGGTGTCCAAAACATATGGCCGCAGGTCAGATGATATGACTACAAAGTCTATCATCGACCTGCGACCTAGGCTGCCCTGGTACCAAGTGTACCGATGGGCATCCTTATGTTCGAACATGGTGTTCGTTATGGCCAAACTGCGGCTTGCACAGAAGTCCAATAACGAAACACCACTCGAGTTCAGATCAGGCGGGCCGTTCCTCCCAATCACACCCCTCCAGGTCAAGCTGCCATTGCCCACATGAGCATTGAAGTCCCCCAGCAGGACAATGGAGTCCCCTGATGGAGCACTATCTAGCACTCGTCCCAGGGACTCCAAAAAGGGTGGGTACTCTGAACTGATGTTTGGCCCATAAGCACAAACACCCTTCAGGACCCGTTCCCCGACCCGAAGGCGGAGGGAAGCTACCCTCTCGTCCCCCGGGGTAAACCCCAACACACAGGCAGAGAGTCTTGGGGCTAACAAAAAGCCAACCCCAGCCCTCCGCCTCTCACCCGGAGCAACTCCAGCAAAGGAGAGTGTTCAGCCCCTCGCAAGGACTTGGGTTCCAGAGCCAATGCTATGTGTCGAGGTGAGTCCGACTATATCTAGCCGGTACTGCTCAACCTCTGCCACAAGCTCCTGCTCCTTCCCCGCCGGCGAGGTGATGTTCCATGTCCCAAAAACCAGTTTTCTTGTCCGGAGATCGGACCGCCAAGGCTCCGGCCCTGGTCTGCCACCCGATCCACATTGCACCGGACCCTTCATGTTCCTCCTGCGGGTGGTGGGTCCACAGTTGGATTAGCCCATGTATCCGGTTCGGGCTGGGCCCGGCCGGGCCCCATGGGCAAAAGCCCGGCCACCAGGCGCTCGCTCACGGACCCCAACCCCAGGCCTGGCTCCAAGGTGGGACCCCGGTAACCCTCCGGGCCGGGTACTCTGACTCTTTGAATTTACATCCATGAAAGATCCTGTGAACTGTTCTTTGTCTCACCCTTCACCTAAGACCAATTTGTCATGGGAGACCCTACCAGGGGCACAAAGTGCCCCAGACAACATAGCTCCTAGGATCATTAGGGCACTCAAACTCCTCCACCACGATAAGGTGACGGTTCAAGGAGGAGTTGAAGTGCTGAAGTTTTGAAAACTAATTTTGAATAAAACTTGAAGAATAACTGGCAATTGCTCGCTCATATGCTATTTGATATAATGGTTTACAAACACAAAAGGTTAATTTATTAGAGTACTCGATTAATCGATAAAAGGTTCGATAGAGTACTCGATTACAAAAATATTCGATAGCTGCAGCCCTACTCCAGACTCCGTCAACTGCTTCCGCAGGTCCCCCAAGGTCTGTAATCGGTCCTTATCCACAATCTTCCTCAGGGACCGGTCACCTCTTCTCGTTGTGCAGCGTTTTCTGCCACACTTTTTCCTTCCCACAGACTTCCCACTGAGGTGCCTAGATACAGCACTCTGGGAACAGTCTATTCATTCAGAAATGTCTTTCTGTGTCTTACCCTCTTGCTTGAGGGTGTCAATGATGGCCTTCTGGACAGCAGTCAGGTTTGCAGTCTTACCCATGATTGCGGTTTTGAGTAATGAACCAGGCTGGGAGTTTTTAAAAGCCTCAGGAAGCTTGCAGGTGTTTAGAGTTAATTAGTTGATTCAGATGATTAGGTTAATAGCTCGTTTAGAGAACCTTTTCATGATATGCCAATTTTTTGAGATAAGATTTTTGGATTTTCATGAGCTGTATGCCAAAGTCATCAATATTAGAAACAATAAAAGGCTTGAACTACTTCAGTTGTGTGTACTGAATCTAATATTGATGAAAGTCTAATGTTTATCAGTACATTACAGAAAATAATGAACTTTATCACAATATGCTAATTTTTTTAGACTGACCTGTATAAAGAACTCAGCAAACTGCATTGAGTCACTGACTAGTGTCAGAGTCTTTACAGCAATCTTCATACTAAGCAAGCATGTAGCGACAGTGGAGAGAAAAACTCCCTTTTAACAGGAAGGAACCTCCAGAGGATCCTGGCTCAGTATAAGCAGCCATCCACCACGACTCACTGGGGAACAAGAAGACAGAAAACACACACATACACACGTCTGTCTATCATAGTGAGGACCATCCATTGTAGTATACCTCACCCATACCATAACCAATGCTGATCTATTCCTAACCTTAACTAAAACTTAATTCACACCATACCTCTAAAAAGTGAGGAACAAAAAAATGTCCTCACATTGTAGTGAAAATGGTCGTAGTAAGTACAAGAACACGCACACACACAATACATATATACCGTGTCTTTCTATGGCTACATTGTGATTTCCTTGTAGGCATTTTATCTAGTAAAAGATCTTTATTGTCTATCTTTCGTGAATCAAGTGTAGTGTTCAAGCCGATGGCCCCCTCCATGAGGCCACTACACTTCAGCAGAATACCACTGTAGCTGAAGTAAGAGGAAATAATGCAATTAATGATTAGTGGTATAAAAAAGTAGTAGTGTGTGGAAAGTAGTCAGTATGTCTTCTAGCAGTCTAAGCCTATAGCAGCATAACTACAGATATGACTCCGGATAACCTAGCCTTTTAGATGGATGCATGTGGGAGGCAGGGACAGGGAGAAGTGTCTTTACTGACTGTATTTCCCACTGTACACTGCAATCTGTGTACACTGTACAAGTATTCCCTTCAAGCAGGTCATGAGCACAGTAGCTTCCTCACTCTCCATGTTGGCATGGCGGTGTTGCTTTATTTCCTCATTGGTCGTCGGCGCTTCAATAACGTGACTGTTGCAGGTGGTTTCGTGTCTGTCTCTTAAAAGTCCCCTGACCGCTATGCGAATGCAATCTGAAAAGGTTCCCCTGGAAAGGGTAGTTATAGGATCTGAATGCTAAGAAGATGGTTCTAATAACTCAGTTCCTAGAACTGCTTTGTCCAAAAGAGCTTATATTGGTTGGGATGGGAATTCGTTTACACCAGTTCCACCAGTTTGATTCCTAATCTGAACTTTTTTTCTTCCCCTCAGTGTTTGTTGGTGACTGTGCGCACTGGACATGTTATTATGAGGTAAGTGTGTTCTCTAAACCTGGCATACAAGAAGAATCCTGATCATTTTGATTATATTTAAGCTTTATTTTACTCAATTCTACTACGTTGTATGAATCACAGTTGTTTCCTGTGGGAATTAGGCTATCAGCTCAGTGGCCTATTATGAGTGTCCACCCTGAGACTGGGAGGTTGTGGGTTCAAATCCACAGTCGAGTTATACCAAGGACCCAATACCTCCCTGCTTGACACAATGTTAGTCTCTTTCCAGAGTATTTCTCTTGTCTGGTGGCACCATCTAGTGGCTGACAAGCATATCACACAAATAACGTTTCTTGTTTATTTATGTCCTTCTGTAGCTGACAGACAGAGCTAAAACACGTTGTTTTACAAGTATTCATGTCATGTTGTGTTCTCATATATTTATATTTTAGAGACTTAGGCCACATTCACACTGCAGGCAAAAGCGCATTAAATCTGCTTTTTTTTCCCCCACATGCAAGCCATATCTGATATTTTTTTAATGACAGTCTGAACGCACAGATCCGTTTTATTTTTAATGTGATCCGTGTTACTTGAATATGTAGCACCGATTCCAACACATATCTGATGCTTTTGAAAGCGACTGCAGTCTGAACGGTCATGTCGCATTAAATCAGTCGCTACGTCACTGAGTCAGGGGTCTCCATGAGAGGGGGATTCTCTGTGAATGAATTTGTACCGGAACATTTTCTGTGAATAATAATTCAGGGAGGCGGCGGAAACGAGGAGTAAATTAGTTTGCAGTTTTAAAAACAGTTTCCAGCCCCAAACTGAAAGTTTTCACTGACAGTTTATCCACAGGTTTAGGATTACATCACAACTGACTTCTTGCCTTGGTGCCGCGGAGTGTTCACACTGGAGAGAGTTTGATGTTGCATTTCAGTCATAGTGTGAATGGCCACACAAAAAAATCAGATTTATTCAAAAAATCGGAATTGAGCATAAAGGCCTGCAGTGTGAACGTAGCCTTACTTGTCTGTGAAAAGTTCATCAACTCTGCATAAGCTGAGGTATTCCTTAAATTTGAAGGAAGTAAGTGGTAGTCTAACGCTATTGGTTAGTTCCGGTCGGCGCTCAGCTTCCTATTGCATGGAGCTCTGCGGGGCATAGGGCGTGCTTAGCAAAAAAACAAACAAAAAAAAAACACATTGATTACAGTATATCACAGACTTAGGGCTGCAACAAATGATTATTTGGATAATCGATGATTCGTTTGGGGTCTTGACATGTTTAATCGATTAATCGGATTACATGGGGAAATTTTTTTAAACTGCTAGGGAAACGTTTTTTCTCTCCTTCCTTCACTTTATTAAACACAACGTTATTAGAAAACAGTTCAGTGGTAGAAAAACAACATGCTATCACCTAAAATGTCTTACAGCTTCAGATAAGTTGCATTGCAATGCAAAAATGTAAGCATATCAACATGCATAGCAAGTAAGGAAGTGTTGACTCCACCCAGCCCTTCCATGTGTACCATGCGGTTCGCCAGACAACACCTCTTTCTGCCTCATTTTTCAAAAAAATTACAAACCAGAAATGAAGCCTTCAGAATACTTTGGAAGGGGATGAGCAAGGGAGGATAAGGGGCTTGACACACGGGAGGCGACAAACGACCGCGATCAGCGAAATTCATCGCTGTTGCTTTTATTACCTGACACACGGGAGGCGACCTGCGGCAGCAGTAAAGCCGTCTACGCGTTCTGTTCCATGGCGAAATTGAAACTTCCGTTGTTTTATTTGGCTGTGTCAGGTTGGAGGGAATTAAGGTTATTTAAGCGGTTCAGAGTTAATAAAGTGGTAGATATGATGTTTCACAAGGTGCTGCTAGAGTTATGTGAAATCTTACTGCTGATTTTACTATATAAAACATAATAATAATCAACTTCTCCGTCATGTTTGCTCGGAGATGTACAGAGCATCCTGTCCGCTCATTGGTCAGTGAATGAAACCTCCGTTGATTGGTCCTCGTCCGAGCGACAGCGATGAAAAGTTGAAAATGTTTCAACTTTCTGGGATTGCGTCGCTGGGTCGCCTGTGCACGACACGTGCACGAGCGCAAAATTTCACTTGCACGTCTTTCGCGTTTCGCTGAGTAGGAGGGAGACCCGCGATTATCGCTTAGTCGCGCATGTCTCACTGAAAATGAATGGAGGAGAGGCGATGCCGCCTCCCGTGTGTCGAGCCCTTAAGGTGTATAGACAGAGACCCTAAGCTACATTCTGTGACCTAAAATGCTTCGTCCAAGTTAAACAGCTTGAGGGCAATTCTCATCTGTCTTATTTGATCTCATCTGTAGACATTTATTATAATTGGGGATGTCAAATGACTAATTTTTAAATGTAATTAAACATAGGCTGTGAATTCATCAAAATTAATCACTATTTCCAAAAATGACTAAAAAATACCAAATAAAACAAAAAAATTGAAGACTTGGAAGAGTTGTCCGACACAACGAATCGATGACGCAATTCGTTGCCAACACTTTTAATAATCGATTTTTATCGATTCGTTGTTGCAGCCCTAATCACAGTACATGATAAGATGATCACTTTTACGGAGTTCTGAAAAATCATACATGATTTCTGAAAGGGTAAAACTCCGGAAAGATACTTTAAGGGGATCAATTTGGAGGTTAAACCACAAAATATTTCTGAGCACGGCCATGCCTGCAGCTCACGACTCCCCCAAGGGATAGGTCCAATGCGGAAAACAAATTTTGCCGGTGTGTGATGACTAATGGGACTTCAATCTTTAAATGCCAGCATCCTCACACACCAAACTGTGTATCACTTGTATTCACAAGATAAAGGTGCTTGCATGCATGCTTCTTTGTATGTGTGTTACTCCTCAGGTACTCCATCCATCTGTGGGATCTGAACCATCCAGGAACTTGGGAAAGCAAAGGCACATATGTGTATTACACAGACTTCATCATGGAGCTGTCTATGCTGTTTCTGGATCTTATGCACCACATCCACATGCTTGTAAGATCTAAAGCTGTTTCCTTATTCTGGGACATCTTTTTACATTCATGTTTTTTTTAAAGCGTTTTGTTATAGAACTCAGATTATCTGTATACACACACACACACACACATAGAATTATTAGAAAAAAAATTGAATGGTTTACATGTGCACTTGTCAGTGTTTTGATCAAATGTGAAGGATTATTTGAAGAGGCATTTGGGAGTAGAAGAGAGGAGACTCGGCTCAGTGAGCTTAGCCAGAGTATCTGAGATCTACGTCTTTATTTAGAATATTTACACAGTTTATTTTCCTCTCCAAATATGTTACTTTCAGCTTTTTGGAAACATCTGGCTTTCCATGGCGAGCTTGGTCATCTTTATGCAGCTGCGCTACCTATTCTATGAGGTCCAGCGCCGCATCCGCAGACACAAGAACTACCTACGAGTCATTAACAACATGGAGGCCAGGTAATAATACATACGTGTACAAAAATGTAGTAATACCATTGTTATTATGTGTGCTTTTGAGTCCTTGTGGGTGCCATTGATTCTTGTTCTAAATGTGTGCAGGTTTGCTGCTGCTACTCCAGACGAGCTGGCAGCCAATAACGATGACTGCGCCATCTGCTGGGACGCCATGCTTACGGCACGAAAACTTCCATGCGGTCATCTCTTTCACAAGTAAACAAGCGCTTCCTTTTTGGTAGCTCCTGTAAAACAAAGTAAAAGCTGCCTATTAGAAACGGTATGCATCCATGTGATTTTGTAGCTCTTGCTTGCGCTCCTGGCTTGAGCAAGATACGTCGTGTCCCACATGTCGAACTTCGCTAAACATCAATGGGGACGGGGTTCAGGTGAGAGGTCAGCCGCAGGGTGGTGCTATGGAGGATAACGTTGGTCCTGCTGGTGCTGCTCCGGAAGGGAGACCACACATCAACCATCACAATCACTTCTTCCACTTCGATGGTAAGTCACCCAAACCCCTAACCGCGACCCGACACGTCTCTGATGGGTTGTGATGTTTATTTATTCTTACAGGATCCCGTATTGCCAGCTGGCTGCCCAGTTTTTCAGTGGAAGTGATGCACACCACTAATATTTTGGGCATCACGCAGGCCAACAACTCTCAGCTCACAGCTATGGTAGGACCACGTTTACTCCCTCTGTGGTTTCATGTGAGATCACACAGAGATCCTGACTGAAGTTGTGTTCTTTTCTTAGTCCTTTTTTACTAAATAAGTCATTTGTTTTTAGAATATTTTTACAATAAATGGATTGTATTTTTGTAATAAAAGAAGTGTCAGCATCAAAGCCTCCATCAGATACACCTGATGAAGTTCATTAAACCCCACGTTAGACACTTTCAAGTTAGGAATCTGCTGTAATCTGGGATTGAATAAAACCCACAAGTATTTATTTAATCATTAGGGATGTTCCGATCACGCTGTTTTGGTCCCGACCTGAGTCCGAGTCATTTAATTTTGAGTGTCTGCCGATACCGAGTCCTGATCCGATACTTCTCAGGAAAGCATTAAAATAAGAAGAAATAAAGAAAACATCGAGTTTTCCTTTAACTTTCACTTTTTTAAGAAGTGCATTGATTAAAAAGCGAGTTTATATTCTGAATATATTTAAAAGTGGCAGCGTTGCTCATATTTCAAGTTGTTTACTCCCTCAATATGCAGCTGTGTTGAGAGATGTTTGTTCCCGTGATGGGGCAGGCATGCGGTGCCTTGGCCGTCTGGCTAACTTTTCCTGCACAACACCTGTAGCTACCGAGCAGCTTGGTCCTGCAGGAGACTTAGAAACCCCAACATTCAGCAGCCTGTTTATTTCCCTGTGGGCTGGCTCTGTGCTGTCTGAGTTTGTTGTGAACTGGGAAGGAAACAGGTCGCTTTGTTGACGCCTGAAGGGAAACCCAAATGCAAAAGTAAAGGTTTGAAGGCTGTGAATGCCCAGTATGCAGACATTACAAGTGGCTGTTACACTTCCTTCACTGTTTGGATTAAAATACCACCATATTACGGACAATAAGCAGTAGCCTGCTTGCTAACAGCTGCACCTCGGTGTCTGAATCCCTGCCTGCCGTAAAATCTTGTGACTTTATGGTGTTGTTTTCATACAAGAAACAAATAATGTTGATACAGATGAACTTGTTGAAATTAAAACCAAGTCATTGTTATTCCAATAGAAAATCTCTATTTTGAGATGAATTTAAAATATCATAATTGTTGTTTAAAATCTTTTCCTCCCAATTCCGATCCTTTTAAAATCACATGATCGGAACGTCCCTAAGTTTGACAGATATTTAGTTCTGGTTTTGTCTCGGTAGGAAAGTTTTTGTGACAATTTTAAACAATCAAACAAACGAATCATGACTCTGAAGTATTTTACATCAACAAGTGAACAATTGTTATGCTCAGCCACATGCTTTGCACGCTCAATAGCAGAAATGAGTCATTTTCATGAGGACAACTTTTTCATTCAACTTCCTGCAGGCAGGTCTGTACTTCCATCTCAAGTAACGTTTTTTAAACGTTTGTTCTCAGGCCCATCAGATTCAGGAGATGTTTCCTCAGGTGCCCTCCTACCTGGTCATGCAGGACCTGCAGCTGACCCGTTCTGTAGAGGTCACCACTGACAACATTCTCGAGGGACGAATCCAGGTGCCCTTTCCTGTCCAGGTCAGCCAGCTAGAGGGTTCTGCAGGAGTTCACCTCACTGTCCTGATCTTCAGTTTTGACATCTATGCACTGTTTTTGTCAGGCTATAGAACACGCTCCTCTACAAGGGAACCCGGCACCAGATGAGTCCGCGGGCCCCGGCGGGGCAGCTGAGCAGAGCCTCGCTGAGTCGGACAACATGGAGGTCAGAGGTGGTCGCTTCTCCAAGTCTGCTGAGGAGAGGCAGAAGATGCTGAAGCAGAGGAAAGAGGAGATGCTTCAGCATGCTCGCAGGTCGGAACTCTTCACATTTGACTTTACTAGAATAGGTTGAGATTGCTGACATCACCTCCACGATCCACGGTTTATGGTCAGAGGTGCAACCAGATCCGATTCCGTAACAAAATTAAACCGTTAAAACGATTTGCTTGTAGGAGGTATCTGAATAAGAACGAGGAGGACCAGGAGGAGGATTTTCCCATCCTGGAAGAGGACTCGTTCCCAGACCTGGACTTGACTGTGCTGAGACGCAGAACCATGGCAGAAGCTGCAGAGCGACGCATGCAGAACCAACAAGAACCCGCACCCTGACACAGCAGGAGACTGAACCTCCACATCACCCGGACAGGCAACAAGAGATCAGTTACAACCTCCCCCCATTCGGTGTTTGTAGTCAGTGGTCATCAGCTGTTCAAAACTGTCATTAAAAAGCATAGCAGAGATGAGCTGTGGACTGTTTTATGCTGCCTAATCAAGGTGAGACTGTTTCCTCTGAGTATTTGGAGCATCATCTAGACTGATGGGTAGATGCAGGTCAGGACTTGCAGATTGCGTTGCCCATCGTTCATGTGCCACACATTGCAACCAGCAGCTTAGACAGTATCTTCCATGATTTGGATGTGCTGTCAGAATAAAGCACCATTTACTTTACAAAAAGTAAGATATATTTTACCAGAAAGGTTAGAAGTTGTCATTTGTAGACGAAGCTACGAGTCTTTTCTTCCCATTTCATATTTTGGTCACTTGTTTAGCTCATGGCTGAAAGCTCTGTAGTCCAGATGATCATCTGGTGTATCTGCGTGTTTCTTTTAAGAGTTTCAACTGTGAATTTAGTAGCAACATGTTTTAATTTCTTACCTCGGAGTAAGAGAATGTCACTTTAATGTTGGTCAGCCTTTCAGTCACACATGAATGTTTCTGTATAATAATGATGCTGCAGACTTAAGTGTTTTTGACCCGCTTGGGTTGTTTTCTGTCAGGTTTGTTTTTATTTACAAGAGGGGGAAGTTGGGATGTACATTTATTTGTTTTCTAACATTTTTACCCTGAGATACATAGGCAAGGAATGGGAGATTTGTCTTCTCTTTGTTACCCTCCACTGAACAGCAAACATATGTAATCTTAATTGGGGATCCATGTCAGGTTAAAATAGTTTAAAAAGAGGCAGAAGAGTTACAAATCAAATGTTTTAAGTTGATTTCATTCATTCATTCATAACACCTTCAGTTTTATGGCTGAAGCTTCTTTTGCTTTGACTGGAAAGGATGAGCCCTCTTGTTTCCAAACTCGTTTAAAGCCAGTTAAATGTGATTACCCTGGACTTGCTGCTTCTGTACAGCAAGATTAAGAATCTGAGGATATTTGGATTTAAGTCTTTTTTTTTGTCTGATCATTCTGCAACATGCTGATTAAACACATCCACTAAAACAGCGGTGAACACCAGCTGCTCATTATTTAGGTAAAGTGCAGTACTGGACAGCACAGCCTGACTTTCTGAAACATAGGAATTCATCAAATTTCACAGAATTTATTGCTGATTGAGACATATCAATGGACGCCAAGTGGAGATTGTGTCATCCGATTATTTAGTTTCTCTAATTACATTACGAACATTCGTCTGGGTGAGAGGTGTGACCGGTGACTTTGTGTACATACTTATCCCAAAGATCATCTAACAAATCCACTGAAAGCTGAAGTGTTGTGACTTTTATTGTGTTTATTTTAATACTCAAACTCTGAGGTGATATTTTAAGTTAAAAGATTTAGGTTTTCAATTTTAATTTAAGAAATGTAAAATAAATGCACAGTTCCTTTTAGTTTATTGTTTTACTTGGCAACTTGAAAAGTCTGGTATATTTTCCTGCTCATGGTTTACCTTTCATAACTATTACCTATTTAATCAAAAATGAATTGTTTTGGACTGAGCTTTCCCATATGTTGTGCCTAAATCAAGGGTGGTTCGGTTAGTAATGTCTATAAATCTAGCTTTTTGTAAAATATGTTAATATGAAAGACTCAATAAAAAAAGAGCTTCTCTGGCTTTTTAAGAAACCTTTGTGTGAGTGATTTGATTTATATAGATTACGCCCCTTTAGTTGACAAAAGGTGGCCTAGTAATCAAGACCAATCTGGAGGTTATACAATCACATAGGATGGATGCCAGGCTAGACAAAAGCAGTTCTAGAAGGTAAAAAAGTGTAGTTTATGCACACACACACACACACACACACACACACACACACACACACACACACACACACAGGGGCATTAAAAACCCTCTCATAAAAAGTAAAGTATAAACTGAGTTTATAGTGCTGTAGCTAGCTGAGTTAAGTACTTCATGTTTTACTCTGTTGAATAAATACAGTTTTAATTGTCTTGTGCTAAACAGTAAGGATAAAATGCTGTGCTTACCATGTTTAAAATCAAAGAATAAATTAAGCAAGTCAGCTGAAAATGACAAATAACAAATGTTGTGTTAGCCAATAGATTCATTTATTGTGTCTCTATTGCATATCTGTGTGTAATTTTCAGCAGGACCGTCGGCCTTGACACCACACCTAAAAATTACACTCTTTCCCGCCCGTCATCCGGGTCAACACCCGGCTGACTGCAAAGGAATGAACCCATTATTTATTTTTACGTCACTGCGTAGCGCGAGTAATCTCTGCCACGTCATACGAAAGGGCTCATCAGGCGGAAGCGTCTGAAAACACCCCGGTGTTGAGCGCAATAATGTAGCCCGGCCTCATTCAGAAGTGCTGCTTTATCTCAGTCAGTGTGGTTATCCCGCTGGATCGTCTCTTGCTGGCGTTCTTTGGTGAGTACCTGCTAGCTTGTCTGCTCGGGTAAATCATTATTTCTTATGTGGTATAAAATTAGCTCCGACATTTTTAGCTTTGTTAGACGTTTACTTTGGAAAGGTGGCCTCATGTTCGTCTGGACCCTTAAAACGTACACGGTCCATAAAGAGTTTACCAGTAACTTCAAGCATTTGTGCCAGCGAATGACGTTATTTTGGCTCATTTAAATGCACTCGCATTCAACATGAACTATTTAATTCAGATTACAAGGGCAATAACAGCACCGTCTCAACAAACTCAGCTGTTTGACACGGTTGATGAAGAATAGCAGCCACGAGATTTGAGGTGCTTTAGAGACGTGGTTCCCAACTTAGTGTCTG